CTCGGATACGGCAAAACTCGGTTAACACGGAACGTTACCTAAATATAGTACAATACTGTATTGGTATTATAAATATGTCTCAATATACTTAAATAACGATATAAAACTAGTTATTTGTGACTTTTGTTCAGTTTATAAATACAAGAAACATTTTAAAAATTGTAAGAAACCAAATAAATGTATTTATATAACATACCATATACAGTACGTTCAGAAGTGTTGCAAAACAATAAGGAAAGACGATTGTTAGGTTAACATAAAAATTGGGACAAACACACATTGTTTTGGTATAAAACGCATTTAATAATACATAGCCTTAAAACAGTTGAATCTCAAATACACTACATGTGAATCAATTATCATTTTAAATTTTAACAAAGAAATCTTTGATTGTTTTTTGCGTAAGGTTATTGCTTCTTCTGCTGGCTGTCTTGTTACGCCAGCGCCGCAGCCATAATAAATCATTTGTTGGAGCATCATCTTGCTGCTCAATATAGGCCAATGCTGCCTCGATAGAGCGTAGGCCGTCTGAGTGAGAGATCCGATCACTGAGCTCATCACATTCCTCACTGTAAAAATAATTTAGCTTTTAGTGCTTTCAGCAGTTTATCACGTGTATAAAATAAGTTTTGGTTTGTGAATTTAAAGTTTAATGAAGGGTAAAATGTGTACAATAATTCTGTAAAAAATATTCGACAGATTAATTTTACAGTACAATGGTTATTAATTTGGGAGACAATAAAATAAAAAACTTACTTGTCATCATTTTCTGGAGTATTCAGGATTTCAATAATTACGTCATCAGTCAGCGCTTGCTCCTCATCTCCGTTGATCCATTCTGCAATGTCGACTGCGTTAATGGACTCAGCCACTGGGAGTTGATTGCCAAGAACCACAAGCTCTTCGATTTCAGAACTCGGTTGCTTTCTGAGAGCAGCTGCCCGTTCATCAATACCAAACAGTTTGCGCCATGACCTGATCGTGTCATCTCTAACGTTATCCCGGCCTCTGAGCACCAGTAAACAACATCTTTCAGTGTGATAAGTTTTAGAGCATTAGTGACACTTAGACCTTCCTCTAATTTCTTCAGTATCATTTTTAGCAGTATCTTTTTGTAATTTCGTTTAAAAGTTTCAAGTACACCTTGATCAAGCGGCTGGATAAGGGAAGTAACATTAGGTGGTAAAAATATGGCTCTAATACCATTGCTCACCAGTTCATCATCATCTGGATGAGATCGAGCGTTGTCAAGAACAAGAATGGCCTTGGGAGGAAGATTTTTTTTCTTCAGAAAAGCTTCAACAATCGGAACAAAATCATCAAAAAACCAATTTTTGAAAATATACGAGTCCATCCATGCGTTTTTCTGATTCCTATATATGCTGGGGAAGGTGTCCACATTAGTGTTTTTGAAAGCACGTGGCTTTTTAGGCTTACCGATTACGACTGGTTTTAATTTCAAACTTCCTGCAGAATTAGCACATGCTAGAACTGTAACTCAATCTTTACATTTCTTATAACCAGGAGCTAATGTTTCCTGCCGACTAGCTAAGGTTTTACTCAGCAATATTCTGAAATTCAGGCCTGTTTCGTCACAGTTAAAGACTTGATCCGAGGTAAGGCCCTCATTCAAAATCAATTTAGAAATTTTTTCTTGAAATATAGGCACTTCAGTTATATTTGCTGAAAGTTCTTCTCCAGATATAGTAAATTGTCGAATTCCATATCTGTTCTTCCATCGCATTAACCATCCAGAACTAGCGGTAAAGGGTTCATCACCATCGCCAAACCTTTTTTGAAAAGCTAGCGCTTATGCCTGTAACATAGGTCCGCTCATTGGACTGCCCTTACTTCTCATTTCCGAAAACCATATGAATAATGCCTCAGAAGTTTTTTCATATTCACACTTCACACATTGCACTTATTACACACACGCTATTAACAGTAGTAAAACAGATCACTGATCTACAAACACGCACTTGAAAGAGTAAACAAAGTACTGCCACTGCTACGCATAGTAAAACAAGTTGGCGTCTTGTGGGAGACCGACTCACGGACGGTTCCGAATAGTACAGTCGGCTAAACACGAACTTTGCAGAAGAATCCCTACCCGACAAATGCCTTCAATTAATTACTTGAATGCAATCACCAACAGCGCACGTATTGCGGTTGCGGTAAGTTAAGGCGCTTTACATCGCTTGTTTATTTGGACGTGATATTTTCTCATTAAAATTTATAAAATTCATATTAGGATGGCCTCGGTTAACCCGGAATCTCGGTTAACCGAGGTTCTACTGTATTTTTTTTTAAATTGCAAGACATATTATAGCCTAGGATAAAACACAACAATTGATGAAATGCTGCCACAGGATTCCGAGGACGTTGCGGATTTAGACAGTACATACCATCCAAACCGAGCAAGTAAGGAATGAAGATATTCTCTTTATGTGATGCAAAACTTTTATATTTTTTATTTTTATACTTATAATGTGAAAATTTATTGCGGACAACTGGAAGGACCTTACTGGCAGAGTAATTCTGCAGATGCAATTGTATGCAGATTGGCAGAACCAATTTTCGGCACAGGCAGGAATATTACTGCCGATAATTGGTTTACGAGTTTGAACCTTGTAAAAGAACTGGAAAAACAAAAATTGTCCTTCGTAGGAACCGTGAGGAAAATTCGACGAGAAATTCCGGCAGATTTTGCATTGCCCAAAAATCGCAATGAATATGATAGCTTATTTGGTTATACCAAACACGAGACACTTGTATCATATGTACCAAAAAAACAAGACAGTTGTATTGTTGTCTAGTTATCATACGTCAAGTTCAGTTGTATCGTCTGACACCGATAAGAAACCGGAGATAATACAATTTTACAATTAAACAGAATCAGGCGTGGACGTTGTGGATAAATTATGTGCCACTTATGATACAGCACGAGCTACGAGAAGATGGCCTATAGTGATATTTTGCCGCTTATTAAATGTAGCCGAAATTAACTCCATGATTATTTCTTTTGGAAATGAGTATATTACGAGACGGATCTTTTTGAAAAATTTGGCAAAAAGTTTAGTAACTCTACATTTACAGAGGAGATCAACAATACAAAGTTTACCGACTAAACTGAAAACTCTTTTAGAATCTTATAAACCTGAACAAGAAGAGGCACATGAAAGGGATCGAGCAGCAAATAGTTCAAACCGAAGTAAAAGAAAACACTGTGCAGCTTGTTACAAAGAAACGAAGAAACAATGCAAGATTCAATATTCTTGTGAAAGGTGTAGCAAATTTTATGTTTGAGTATAAATGCTAAAAAAATGTGCGAGGAATGTTTTAATAAATATTAATGAGATATATATTAAATCTGTAAATAAATATAATACACATGTCTATGTTGTTTTTTCACTTTAAATATATTTTTATTAATTCCATAAGTAGTTTTGTTTTTTTTTTGTTTTTCTCCATATATGGGCAATATTACGCATTCAAAATTTGTTTAATTATTTACTTCCTTATAAAATACATTTATTTATGTTATGTATATATTATGTAATGTAACATTAAAATAATAAGGAAAATATTTTAAAAAATCCGCTAGTAATTAAATAGTTAATCATAGGTCCATTGGACCTACCTCGACTAATGGCGTTCGGGCAGGTCGCGCGCCTAATGACGGGTTAATATAAAAATGGTACAAGTACAAAACACAATCCAGTACGGACATCTGTCTGTGAGAAGTAAAAGCTCTCACCAATTTCTGGTAATAGTTTTCTGTATAAGTGGTGCAAGTGTACATGTCCTACTTTTGTTCTAAACCTTATGTAGTTGTTTGTGACCGCCGCATTTTAAAAGTGTGCAGGGATATTAATACAATTTGTGCAATAGCCTTAAAATAATGCCAGTTAAGTTTACATAGTAATTTTATTACAACAAAACATATCTTAAATGCGGGCTCAGAGGACTTCCCTGAAATAATAACATCACAAATTAGAGCCACCCTAAAACAAATGAAAAATGGGAAAACACCAGGAGAAGATAAAATTACTTCAGAGATGCTAAAAATGGGAGGCACTGCATTAGAAGAGGCAATAAGAGCATTACTTCTCCATAAAAAAGGGGACGCCGCAAATATAGAAAACTACCGACCAATAAGCTTATTGTCACACCTTTACAAACTACTAACCCGAATAATAACAAATAGATTGACAGCTAAACTAGATGCATACCAACCAGTGGAGCAAGCAGGCTTTCGTAAGGGTTTTAGCACTATCGATCACTTGCAAACGATTCGGACCATTATTGAAAAAACAATAGAGTACAACATACCACTACATCTGGCACTTGTCGATTATCACAAAGCATTCGACAGTATCGAGAAATGGGCTTTCTTAACAGCATTGGACGACGCCAGAGTAGATTCAAGATATGCTGCCCTCCTTAAGAATATATACGATGATGCTACTTTTCACGTAAAAATAGATGATGATCTGGAAACTATGAAAATAGGCCTTGGCAAACGTGTGAGACAGGGCGACACCATCTCACCCAAGTTATTTACTTTGGCATTAGAAAATGTTTTCAAACAACTAAATTGGGCCGAAAATGGATTAAAAATAGATGGAGAATATCTTAACCATTTGCGTTTTGCAGACGACATAGTACTAATAAGTACAGATATCCATGAACTAAAATCAATGCTACAAGATTTAAATCACAAATCGAATCAAATAGGATTAAAAATGAATCTCGACAAAACAAAGATATTAAGCAACAGCCTAGAAAACATCACGATAGATAACATCAATATAGAAAACGTAGAACAATATATATATATATATATATATATATATATATATATATATATATATATATATATATATATATGTATATATATATATATACATATATATATACATATATATATATATATATATATATATATATATATATATATATATATATATATATATATATATATATATTTATCTAATACATGCAATTAAAAATGAAAAGGAAAATCAAACCCTAGAAATTAAAAGAAGGACACAATTATCATGGGCTGCTTTTGGTAAGTTGAGCTTCATTTTAAAAGACAGAAAAATCCCAATTCACTTAAAACGAAAAACCTATGACACTTGTATACTACCAGTTGCAACTTATGGATTGGAAACTATGGCAATAACAAGAAAAATGGCAGAACAATTAAGAGTAACTCAACGGGCCATGGAGAGGGCCATGTTAAATATAAGCCTCAGAGACAAAATTCCTAACACCGAAATACGTCGAAGAACTAAAGTAACCGACATCATGGGAAAAATAGCGACATTGAGATGGCAATGGGTAGCACATGTAGCAAGACAAGACACCAACAGATGGTCTCATAAAGTGACATTCTGGAGACCTCGAGAAACAAAAAGAAGCGTGGAAGACCTAAAAAGAGATGGATAGACGATATAACTGCTGTAGCTGGAAAGCAGTGGATGAGAATTGCAAAAGATAGGAAAGCGTGGAAGCAATTGGAGGAGGCCTATGTCCAACATTGGATAAATGAAGGCTGAGAAGAAGAAGAAGTAATTTTATATGTCTAAAAGAAAGAACCTAAAACAAGAAAAAAAAGGAAAGAAAATACTGACAAATTTAGACAGACTAGTGTCAAGTATCACATTGAAGTTGATGGTAACAAAGTTGTTGTTTGCAAGAACTGTTTCTTAAAAGTATTCGTAGAAAGTCGAAGATTGCTAGAAACTATTATTTAAAAGAAAAGATCATCTTCTTCTGGCATAATCCAACCGGATGAAAGAGGAAATTTTAGAAAAACCTTTATAACTGAAGAAGAAAAGAATAAAGTAAATCAATTTTTAATTGAAATACCAGCTTATGAAAGCCACTACTCAAGACGAGATTGTGGGAAAAATTTGTTTTTCCACATTTGACGATAGTGGCACTATATTATGTAGAATACAAGCGTACCCTACCTTAAAGCAGTTCAAAACCTATACAAAATTTTCAAAAGCTATACTAAGTTTTTTGGGGAGTTCCACGACTTAAATTTAAAAATTAAAAAGCCTAAAGTAGATACCTGTTCAAAATGTGATAGGTTAGATATGCAACTGAAAATATGTTCTGAGAATGAAAATCGGGAGTTTTTAACACAAAAAAATGATAGCAGAGGATACATACCCTGATGATATTCCTGATGAAGAAAATGAAGAGATAGTGCAACTAATTGACAAAAGAAAGAAAGTAAATGTGAAAAACACGAAAAAAATGACAGCTGCCCAAATGAATAAATCAATAAATTGATTTATTCAAGCGTTTTTCATAAAACCTAACGACTACGATAATATAGTAGTCGAAGTAGAACCGGATAACAATCTAGAAATATACTAAAAGGCACACAAGTTGTCACATGACGTATTACTTGCCATATCATTCGATTCAAACTAATTTTACAAAGTGGCTGGCTCCCACTATTTCGAAAGATTGCACCACTAAAATGCCATAACAATAATTAACTGCTGTGTTAGTTCAGTTCCATTACCAGTTTTCTGGTGCGGAACCAAACAGCAGCAATCATTTAGTAATAATTAACAACTCTAGTATTTTCCGAGTGATTTTTTTGGTTAACAGTTTTTAAAACAAAATGTTCGTTCTTAATAAACAAACTATTCGAGAACAAAATTTTTTGGTACAATTTTTAAAATGTTTCACTAAGACTTTCTGGTGTAATTTGTGGCTCTTCGGTGTTAACTTCCTTATAAGTTAAACTTGTTTTGTTTTCCAGTAACATTATAATTCTGAAAAAAAAGTAAACAAATAAAATACGTCCTAAAAAATCGATGAACTTCAATTTTAAAAGGTTCTAAAAAACGAAAAGATACCATAATAAACACAGATCGAGAAAAACAAAGAATTATTAATCAAAAGACTGATATTTTTTTGTACACACTTATGACAAGTCTAAAGAAAATGCAAAAAAGTATTTTTGAAGTGTGTATATTTTATGCAATTCCTAGCTGAGCGCTTTCGGCTTTACAAAGCCATCATCAGAGCTATGGTCAATTTTTTTAAATACCACTACAAAGGAGAGATCTCATTTCCTTAAATTTCAAAAATATGATTTTGTAGGAGTTGGAATTATTAAAACATATAAAAAACATATAAAAAGTCGACACTGGACTTCACAAACACGTTAAAAAATTGAAAAAATTTTTGTCATGGTACGGGTTTAAAACCCGACCATTGATTGATGTGAGGACGTAGACTGAATCGATTCAGTCTACGTCCTCACATCAATCAATGGTCGGGTTAAACCCGTACCATGACAAAAATTTTTTCAATTTTTTAACGTGTTTGTGAAGTCCAGTGTCGACTTTTTATATGTTTTTTATATGTTTTAATAATTCCAACTCCTACAAAATCATATTTTTGAAATTTAAGGAAATGAGATCTCTCCTTTGTAGTGGTATTTAAAAAAATTGACCATAGCTCTGATGATGGCTTTGTAAAGCCGAAAGCGCTCAGCTAGGAATTGCATAAAATATACACACTTCAAAAATACTTTTTTGCATTTTCTTTAGAAAAGAATTATTAATTTTCAATAAATGTTAATTAAATAAAATAAATTAAATAAAAATTAACTACATATTGTAAAAAAACTTAAAACCTTGATATTGTGTGAAAAGTTCGGTCTTATAGTTTTAAAAATGTAGTTATAATTTCAGAGTGATTTATCAATTAGTTTAAAAGTTATTGGTAGTGTACAGAATGAGTACATAAAAACTACAAAAAGAAACTTCAAAATCCATCAGCATGAGTTTGATGTTCATATTTCATTTTTCGATATCGCCGATTTGAAAAAAGAACTAACTTCTTATAAAACCTTTTAAATCTGCTAAGAATAAATATATTGTTCTGAAGCTATTTTCTTGTGGCATTTTAAAGTAATTATTATTTAAATGGGAATAAGCCACAATTAAAGGTTAAAGTACGTTTATTGACGTTTCAATTTCCACTTCGGAAATCGTTTTCAAAATACAAACATTAGTAAATTAAACAAATTTTCAAACAAAAAAACAAAATTTGTTTAATTTACTAATGTTTGTATTTTGAAAACGATTCTCGAAGTGGAAATTGAAACCTTTAATTGTGGCTTATTCCCATTTAAATAGTAATTAAGAATAAATATATAATGACTAGAGAAGAATTGATGAAGAGTAGTGAATCGATGTGAAGAACCGCTATTTCATAACGCTACCCGGAACTAGTGCAACGAGAAGGGGTTTCTCGTTGCACTATAAGTTATAGTTCCGTATTCGCGTCAGCATTTTACTATAGAAAAAAAGTAATACAACGCCGGTATACAATAAGCTGTTCTTCAAAAATTGCAATGTGTTTGCAATGTAATTTTGCAATATTGGAAATGATTTTTTAACTTTTTTTAAATTATTCTGATGGAATCTCTCTCTTACTTATGCTACCTACCCATAAAACATTGGAACGTTATTTTTTCTGACTTAAGTTATTGCAAAGAAAAGTTTTTTGGGATAAATAAATTAAATAACTGGAAGGATATATAAAATTTGAAGAGGCAACTAGATTTATGATTTACGTCGGTCAGATAGCCAAGCGGGCTGGGCGGCCGGATTCTCATTCTCTTCACTGCGAGTGGTTCAGCGGATGTGAGTTCGATACCCAGCTCGGTGTACAGAAAACATATATAAAAATCACTAGGTTCTCAGGAAGAACCGCGTTGAGAATTTAATGCTCGATGAGAGTGATACGGTTCGGTTCGGGAGATTTGATGTCACCCCAGACACACTTTCTCTTATAAAACACTGCATGTCTAATACATACTTTTCATTCCAAAATCATTTCTATCGTGAAATCAAAGGTGCCTCAATGGGATCTGCCCTCTCTCCCGTAATAGCTGATATTTTCATGGAACATTTCGGAACAGGACCCCTGTCGTCATCAAATCTCAAACCCACCTGCTGGTTACGGTATGTTGATGGCACTTTTGTCACTTGGCCTCATGGTAAGGACGCGTTAGATCTCTTCCTATATATATATATATATATATATATATATATATATATATATATATATATATATATATATATATATATATATATATATATACATATATATATATATATATATATATATATATATATATATATAATTATATATATTATATACAGTGTAGGTAAAAGTTTATGGTCGGTATAGTAAAATTTAACAGGATATCTAACACAGATATAAAATCATATTTTCAGCGAATAGACAAAGAAAACAAATATATTTCCCCTTGGTCTCCCCTCCACATTTTTTAGACACACCTATTATTGAACGTCTTACGAATTTTCGATCCAGCTTAGCTTATACGCGACAGGGTTGCCTTATTACATATTTGAATTAAAACATTGAATTGATTCTAAAAATTGGCGATCAGTGGTGCGATTATATTGCCATTCAAAACTTAATGATGATATTAAAAATGAAACATTAATTGACACAAATACTGGTCCAAAATTTCTAAAATCCATGAAAAATTTACAGATTCGCATTTTTATTTGACGAAATTGTAATCAAATTTTGAATAATATAAGATAATTTTGGCAACGTCGTCATTCGTCGAGACGAGACGGCCTGTCGACAGCTATGTATTTCTTTTTGGAGGAGGAACAACTTACTACCGTGATTACGCATGACATATCACAGAACTAGTTCTGTTCTGTAGAGATGAGCGTTGAATCACCGAACTGTTTTATTTTATTTGTCGTTAAAGAATCTACGTTTTCTCAATGGGAAGCCAACTACACTTCTCAACAATTGAAGTGGATATTATGAAAATGTGTATTTTGTTTTTTGTTCATAAATTTAAAAAGAAAAATGGAGTAATGTAAAGATTTATTTTTACTTCGTATTTTAATACAGACGAACCAAAAGAAAGAAATTTAAAAAATAGAAAATAAACAAAAATTGTAAAATAACAACCTGAAATTTCTAGTCCTGCTCAATTTGTAATATCTCGAAAAGAAAAATGAATAGTGTGTGGGTCACCTTTGTGTCGCCTTAGTGCTTTAACTCTATTTAGAAGACCTTATATTAATTTATTGATAAACTGCTGCGGTATACATTCCCAAATCGCGCGTAATGCAGTGGCCAACTGATCTAAGGTTTGGGACGGTTGAAGGAGTTTGTTTTGTTGCCTAAACATTTCGGCCCAAACATGTTCAATGCAATTCATATTAGGTGAACATGGTGGCCACTCCATTCTTGCAATGCCATGAGCTTCTATATACTCGTTGACTATTCTCGCACGGTGAGGGCGAGCATTATCATCAATCAGAACAAATTGTTCGCCTATTACACCAAAAAATGGAACAACTATTGGCACTATGACTCTGTCTCGAAAATCGTGTAGCAGTCATTGTCTCATTAATTAAGACGACTAAGTCCGTGCGACCGTCAAAACATATGCCTCCCCACACGTAAACGTATCCACCTTCACAAATAGTGGTTGGGACTCTCAGATTTTCATTGTATCGCTGTCCTCTTTCCCTCCACACCAATATTCGGCCATCATTCGTATACAAACGAAATCTGGACTCGTCAGTAAAGAGACAATGCCTTCTATTTTCGAAATTCCACTGATAGTGTTCCATCGCCCAGCGATATCTGCATGCACGCTGCTCCCTAGTTAGTCGTGGATGGGTAGCGCGCCGTCTATCCCTTAAATTGGATGCATGTAACCGTCTTCTGACAGTTTGACTTAAAATCGCTCGTCCAGTCTGAAGATACTGTTCATTCTGGAAGCCGTGAATGTTGGTGTTTCTTCTTGCCGTTAACACTACAAAACGGTCTTTCTGACGAGTTGTAGATCGTTCTCTTCCTCCTCCACGCCTGTATGTTGCAGATCCAGTTACTACATACCGATTTCATTCACGACTTATCAAACTTTGCGACACATTTAGACTTATAGCAACCTCTTGTTGAGTTAGGCTTTGTTGGATCCAACGAACTAATTGCTCGAGCTGCACTACTTCTAAACGTCTTTGCGGCATAATGTTTTTGTAATAAATAGATTTCTTGACTTATTGACAACTTTTAAAGCCAATACAAGCACTTTTATACGAATGATATATTCATGTTTGGAACAACATTTTTCCCTTTGTACGAGATAAGGGCCGATAAGAATAGGGAGAAAAAAACCACATGCAAAAAATATTGGAATTAAAGGTAGCATATAGAGTATAGTACAGGCAATTATTTTAAAAATAGTTTTATATGTTAATTTTAGAAATTTTAAAATTATCCACTTCAATTGTTGGGTAGTGTAGTTGATGGTGTCTGAACTTGAAATCTTTATTGATAGTTCGTTAAAGGATTTATTTATTGTAAATATTCAATTAGGAAGTCTTTTTATTATTTAAAAGCATTTACCTAGTACAAGCGTAATAAATTTATTTTCAAAAAATGCACATTTGTAAAAGATGCAGCTTTTATCGTCGACTTTCTGAATTTTACAATGATCAATTATTTTGGATTTGAAATATTAACACATGGGAGTCCCCGATTTACGTTTTATATTGTTCAGAAAACTAAATTTTTATTTGGAGTTGTGTGAGAGTGTTTTGTTTAACGTAAATGTGAATTTATTCTGGGAGTACTAAATATTTACTTTATTAACTAATTTTGTGTTTAACATGTCTGCGCGTAAAGATGTTAGTATTTTATGGCATCACTTTGAGAAAGACATTAACAGTGAGAAGGCTGTATGCAAATTTTGCAAAGAAAAACTTAGTTATAAATCAACTACAGCAAATTTGAAAAGCAGTTGAAAGTATTTCAGTATATATTTTTTTTTGATTCAAGAAAGCATGTTTGTTTATGTACTCGATTAAATATTTTAATTAGTTTTTCAACTTGTTACTTGTTTACGAAAAGCAGTTCAGTTTCAGTAACGATAAAAACGGTAAAGACTCACCTCTACTGTTTTTCTCGTTACTACAGTCAGAGAACTACGAACACTAGTTCGGGGTAGTTCGCAGTCCTTACTTTAAAAGCTCGACGTTGCCAAATAATTATGTAAGAAGGTTTTGTATTTTGGTGTCATATTGCAATTTATTATTTTTATTGCGAATAAGGCACAATGTGACTTTAAAATAAGCTTATTTTGATGTTTAGATTTCTAATTCGGAAATTGTACTTAAAATACGAAATATTAATAAATTTTATTTACATCAAACGATTTCCAAAGTGCAAATCAAAATGTTAAATTAAACTTATTGTAAAGAAAAACTGTGGCATATGTAAAATAAAAACAGTAAGCTGCCATTTAAATCAATTCGCAAAAATTTTATTATCTTAGAACGTTGTTAAAATGCTAAAAAGACAACAGGTCAAATAAAACCAATAAGTTTGGCAACGTTGAACTTCTCCTCTTTTCTTAGTTCCACGTTCCACTAATGCTATTTAGACGATATAAAGGGCGGACCTAATATACCTCTCTCTTTTTAAAGTGAGTTTCTCACTCAATCTCACGTAAGGTACATACCGACCATAAACTTTTACCTACACTGTATACATATATATATATATATATATATATATATATATATATATATATATATATATATATATATATATATATATATATATATATATATATATATCCGGTTTTTTAGGCGTTACGCCCGTCCGGTAGGGATCTATGGAGGAGTATCACCGAGCCGCAAGCCCTTATATCTTGCCGTACTGCTCCACCATAGGCCGATCAGATCCCAGCATATCCGCAGATTCATCTAGAATTTTAAACTGCTGCGTTAGACTTTTTGTTTTCTGTACACCGAGCTGGGGCTCGATCCCACATCCACTGAACCATTCGACAGTGAAGCGAATGAGAGGCAGCCGCACAGCCCGCTGAGCTAAAGACGTTTCGCTTTATACTTCTAAAGCTTCATCAGTTCTGTAAAATACATAGATGACATAGAGTTTATAAGAAATACAGATCTAATAATTTATTACTTACAACTCAATATGTAGTATTAAAGATGTTATCGTATATGTACTTAAGTTTACTAATAAATTTAGAACTAACTTAAAAAAAAATTTAACAGAAACATGCAAAAAAATAACATTCGCAGAAACGAAGATTTACAAAAACGTTAAACGTACATTTGGCTTCATTTAGAGATGGTTCTCCAATGAAGACAAACAAAACATTGATTTATTGCAATCTACGCAAAACGACGTGACGCGATACCGAAAATTTTTTCAAGGGCCATATGTTCAACTAATTCCAAGGTTTGAGACAATTATGAACTTCTACGGGGGTCATTGAAAGAATAGTTGGACAGGAGGATTTGTATGACGAAAAAATTTGATGTGATTGTTTTTTGTAATTTATGTTTTAATGAAACTTGGAGATCTGGGATGATTATGTTAATGTTTTGAATGGAAAATACGGCTATTTTAAATTATGAATATTGGTATTATTTATTTCGTAAGATGAGAGAGTGGTAAACCTGGCTCAAATTGTCAATGTCGGTTCTTTTGTTTATTGCAGATGGGTTTTTTAGGATCTCACACATTTCAATAAAGGAGCGTTTTTGATGGTTATTTTGTTTGGCCAGTAATTTAGTATTTGAGAAGTCAATGTGATGTTTGGTGGAAATGGCGTGTTGTGCAAGGGCACAAGAGGGTTTGGAAAGTCTAATGTCGCTTTTATGTGAAGTTATACGCCCTAGAAGTGAGCGACTGGTTTGGCCAATGTAGCAGGAATTGCATTCAGAACAGCGGATCTGATAGACAACATTAGTGTGCTCTAACGAGCTTAGTGGAGTTTTGGACTTGGAGAATAACTTTCCAATGGTTTTAGTGTTTTTTAGGGATATTTTGACGGGTAAGTTTTTGAATAGTTTAGTAAGCTTGTTCGTAATTTGTGGGAAATATGGAAGAGAAGCATATTTTGTGGCTGGTTTTGGGGTTAGCAGGGAATTGTCAGTCTATTGGATATGGAGGCTAGTATTGCACCGTTAGGTGCTTCAGAAATAGAATGACCGTAGCTTTTAAAGAAAAGATATCTGTTGATGATGGATATGGGGTAAGAGTTATCAATGAGGATGGATTTGAGTAAATCCAAAGATTCCCTCTTGTATCGTGTATGGGTCAACGTGTGTACTCTAAAGCTAAGAGCTTGTACAAGGTTATATATTTATGTTCAATGTAAAATTTACCTATTTTGAATCTTGTGAAAGGTTGTAAAGTATAGCTTCGTAAATCTATATATATATATATATATATATATATATATATATATATATATATATATATATATATATATCTCAACTCATATATCTCTCAACTTATATATATATATATATATATATATATATATATATATATATATATATATATATATATATTGGATTTGAAATTTCCGCGGAAGCTATATGTGATTTCAGTTGTTTTCCGGGTTTGACTCCGCGTTAAATAGTTTTGGTTTTTAGAAAAACCATTGTTTTGACAACGTTTCGGCAAGGTCACACTTGCCATTGTCAAGTCAGATTAGTTCTGTTTCGTCTTGATGTTTCAGGAGAACTGATTTCTCGGTCGCTGTACGTTGAGTTTAAATACCTTGTAGCACTTCTTGTAATTGGTCCTGTGCGCAGAGTGGGCGGAATCTACTTTTTTCTGCAGAATTGCATCATATATATATATATATATATATATATATATATATATATATATATATATATATATATATATATATTATATATATATATATATATATATATATATATATATATATATATATATATATATATAATATATATATAAGTAGAGTTACGAAGCTTTACTTCACAACCTTCATATGTGAATATGCCAAATTTTATTACAAGATTCAAAATAGGTAAATTTTACATTGAACATAAAGACCAACGGGGAAGGCCAGTTTATAACTGTACTTGTCGTTTTGGAAACTTATAACCCAATCTAGAAATCAAAAAAATGTATGATACGGAACCTGAAGTGCTAGGGGGACATAGTTAATTAAAAGTACCTATTGAGGTACTGTCTAATTATTTTTGTGAAACTATTGTGTTATGAAAAGACGGTTAAGTTGAATTTTTACAAACTTTAAATAAATGAATAATTTGCCGAGATAATAACAAAAATCGTTTTTGTATATTTTGTTTTTGCTTGGCAATACCTCTATACACAAATCAAATGTTGCCGTCCAGACAATTCGTGATTTAGGGCTCGAATTAGTCGAATACCCTCCGTATTCTCCAGATCTGGCTCTGTCTTTCTTCAACTGTACTAAAATACTATAAGTATAAGTAAAAGCTATTTTGATCTAAATAGTAGTCAATATATGTAGTTAAAAACCATCAAAGAGTTTAATGGTTTTCCAGTTCGAAAGTCAACAATCATTTGATAATTATATAAAATATACTTACAGAATTATAATAATATCAACGCCGAAGAGCCCAGCAGATATAAAATTATAAAACCCAGGATCAGTATAGACCGTGGCATTGTAAATAAAAGTATAAAATGGCGAAGCTCCTATACTAATAATAAATTCAGCCACCATTATCAAAGCAAATACTTTGCCTATTTCGTCAACAGGTACTAATTTCGAGATTAGGGTTCTACATTGTGGGTTTACTATTCCAGAAATAAATTTTAGTCCAGCCACTAAAACAAAAAAAACGGAAAATTACTTAATTACTACCATTGTATTATTGTACTGTTCTCATTAGTCAAACAACATTGTTAACGCTTAATTCTTTTATTGTACATTACCTCTTAACATAGATCTATTATACGATCGACTATGTCGTCTCCTACCTCAACTATCAACTGTCAACTGTCAACTAGTGTTATAAACTCACAATATTCATAGCTTACTATACTACACCATCATCAACATAAAATAATTTTCATATCGCCTCTTCATAAATGTAAATTGAAGAAACACAATCTTAATCCTTCTCAACTTCAATTGGTACAAATATAGTCTTAGAAATGCAGAATGAGAGACATATGAAAAGAAAGTGACTAGTATTAGGACAGGTGTGGTAGAGACTGATCAATTTCATCTGAAAGTAGAATTGCACCTAGGGCTCGGTTGATGCAATTCTATATTATTATTCTCATTAGTGTTGGATCGGATAAGAGCGAAACTACAGAGTACAGTACAAGCGAAGTACAAGTAGGAAATCTTCTTCTTCTTCTAAATGTGCCTATCTTCTAGAGATGTTGACGACCACATTAACTCATCTTATTCTATTCACAGCAGCTCGAAATAGATCAGTTGACGTTAGACCAGTCCACTTCCTAAGATTGACCAGCCAGGATATACGTCTACGTCCAGAACCTCTCTTACCCTCAATATTGCCTTGTAGAATCAACTGTAGAAATCGGTATTTATCATTACGCATGATGTGGCCGAAGTAAGCCAATTTTCTGTTTTTTATGGTGTTAACTCTAACTAAGTAGGAAATAGTGAACAAAAACTGGAACAATGGAGACAAACTTTTAATGAAAAAGGTTTAAAACTTGGTAAGACAAAAATAGAGTATTTGGAATGTTCATTTAAAGATGAAGTTGCTATAAACAAAATGATATATTTGGATGATAAAATGATTGTGAAAAGTAATAGTTTTTAGTATCTAGATTCAGTATTACAGAGAAATAGAGATGCTCCCAACAAAAGTAGGATTGGATGGATGAAGTGGAAGGAAGCGAGTGGTATGTTGTGTGACATAAAAATTTAAATGAGGCTGAAAATTCTGTAAAACAGCCATAACGCCAGATATGATGTATGGAACTAAATGCTGGGCAATTACAAAAAAAGAGGAACAACCAATGCATGTGGCGGAAATGAGAATGTTTAGATGGATAAGTGCAGTGACAAAAAAGAATAAAATCAAGAATAAGGGAAAGTCTAGGAGTGGCACCAATTGATGCTAAAATTAAAGAGCATAAGTTACGTTGGTTTGGTCATGTTTAAAATCGAGAAGTGTTTTACCCAATATGAAGAATTGCTGATCTGTGTGTTCTTGGAAGGCGTAGGAGAGAAGACCAAAGAACACCTGGGGAACGCTTGGGTAGAACAAATCAGGAATTGATATCGATATCACCCAAGATAGAAACTTATATAGAAATGATGTGACCATGCAACCCCGCATAGGGGTAAAGGCAAATAAAATGATGATGAGTCTGAGAAATGTACAAGATAATCTGCTTCTAGTAATATGTAAGTTTTACTTACCAAAATAAATTTGAAAATCTTCTGTTGCAATTCCTCGTACAAAGTCACCGTTGAATGCACACATCAAACCTAATAAAATAACGACTGACTCGGTTACCCCCAACTTTTTGAAAAGGTAGGTACCACCTAGTGTACCGATAACGGAGATTATGACAGTTGCACTGTTAAAAATAGTGTAATGCTGCAAGTTCCAGTTGAATTTTCCCATTAAAAACAGATAAGTTTTACCATCACCGTAGAATATGAAAATATTCAATATCATAATCACAGTCAATAATAAAATTATCGCTCTGTTAAACTTTTCTCTTGGTTTGGTCATTACGTGAGCCATTCCTTTTAGGTCTGAGGGTTTGAAAATATCCTTCCAACTTTTCTATAAAAATATATAATGTTAATAAAATCTGGAAATAAAATAACTAAAATTTAATATATAACTCCATTTACTTATTAACAGCAGTCAGGTAACCAGTACTACTTACTACACCGTCCATAGCCACTTACCAGGTCAGTTAATCACCATTACCGTTACGTTCACCCGTAATATCATAATATTTATTATATAAACAAGTTTTGTGAGATGGTGATAGAATTGATAACCGATATATCTTGTTTATCACGGTTATCGAAGTTGGCAAGGAACGGTAATTACCACTGATTTCTTAACTAACGTGATTAAATCACTGGTAGTGAAACCAGTTCCCATCACTAGAACGTAGTCATCATCATCATTATCATCCAGCCTTCATTTATCACGTCCACTGCTGGACATAAGCCTCTCTTAAACTCCTCCATTCTTTGCGATTTTGTGATCTTTGTTGCCAAATTTTCGTGATACGCCTGATGTCATCAGCCTAACGTGTAGGTGATCTTCCTCTACTACGTTTGTCTGCTCTTGGCCTCCAATGCGTAATTTTGCTCGTCCATCGTGAGTCATTCATTCTCGCTACATGGCCTGCCCAATTTCTTAGAACGTAGTAGGAAAGAGGAATCCACTGCGTTAAAGGTTTACATAAACATCCCAAGAGAACAAAAATGGTGAGTGATTCAAAAATTTCGGCAATACTCATAAAGTACTAAATTCACTGAACAAACATTGGCTATCGTCGATTACTTTCCTTAAGTAGTGTATAAATTATTATAAAACTGTTATACTCTAGTTGTCAGAGACAAAAATGTCATTGAACCCTTAAAAATCATACGAACAAGCTGAATTTTGCCGAGAATGCCAATTTTAGTAGGAAAAAAGATGTAAAAAAGTTTTTTACCCTCGGGTTTCTCCCTAAAACCCACTCGTAAGTGGTAAAAACGCCAAAAATCGATTTACCAAGAATCAGTACACTGTAGAGAAAAATATTTCAAATAAAAAATGTAGCTGAGATAATTATAAACAAAAACGTTTATAAGCACTTTTTGTGTAGAATGAACTGTTCTCTTAGAAACAACGCTTGAAGCGACCATTGATATTGAATGTCAGTTACGCGCGTGAAATTAATGTTCAATAAAATCAGCTCGACGGTAAAAATGCAATATCTTTTGATTCAAGTGTCCTATCGACAAAAATCAAGATGCATTTTAGAGGTTTAGAGTTCAGATTTTTATTCCAATTTTGTATTTTGCCGCAGATTTTATAAAGATGTTAAATATATAAACGTGGCGCGATTTTCAATAGATTCAATATGTCTCGTAAATATTTTAATTCTCATTTATGTTCTAGATTTTATCAGCTGGTTGAATTTCTAGGTAATGCCTATTTGAAACGATCGGTCCCCTATTAATCGAACCTTCTGGAAACAGGCCACTATAACAAAGAGTTCGAGACAATTTACGTCAACATCCGTCTGCTTCGCGAGAGATCCCATGCTAACGGCATTTCGTATTTAAAGAGGATTTTTGTTGTAAACACTGTTAGTCAAAAGAGAATATCGCGGCGGGTTTTTAAATGTAACGCTCGTATAAATAAATTATGTAATTATTAGTGTAAGATAAATTAGTATAAATAAACTTTAAATTAAATTGTAAGTGTTATAAATATAGAACCTTTGATAAATAACAAAGACAATAAATTAGAATTAATTAAAAATATTAAAATTATTAAAAATACAACAATATCATGAGATCATACAATCTATGGTTTTCATTGACTAGCCACTATAAAGTTTTGATTACTAGAGTCTAATCTTTAAAATCTATAGTATGAAATTTTAGTTTTGCCAACAAATATACTTAAAAACGCTGGATTTAAACTTTTACATAACAAACGATTTAAAACATGTCAAACTTTTTTTTTCAATTACACTAGTACGTTTTTCAAACGAGCCAAACTTCTGCTATAAACTACACAAAAAACCGACTTCTTGGATGCATTTCCCGTGACGTGCGATCGTTTGTAATGTAAAATATTAAATTCTGCGTTTTTTTATTCATATTTCAAATACCTCATATTTGTTGCCACAACTCAAAATTGAAATTTCATCTCATAGGTTTTAAAGATTGATCTCAAAAAATGGAAATTTTACTACGACTGGTCAATGAAAGTGATCAATTTTATTGATCATGAGAGTCGTAAAAAATGGCAACATTCGCGCCACATTTATTTATTTAACGCCTTTATAAAAACTGAGTTTATTCTCGGTAAAATACAAAAACTGCATACGAAAGTTGCACTCTTTACCTTTAAAACACATCTTAAGTTTTTTCGATACGACACTTGGATTAAAAGATATTAATTTTTTACCGTCGAGCTGATACAAATTTTATTGAACATTGATTTTGCACGCGTAACCGACATTCAAAATCGACGGTCGCTTCAAGCGTTGTTTCTAAGAAAACGGTTTTTTCTACACAAAAAGTGCCAATAAGTATTTTTGTTTAAAATTATCTCAGGTATATTTTTTATTTGAAATATTTTTCTTATAGCGTACTAGTTCTTGGTATTAGGGAGAAGTGGTAAACTTTTTGCAGCTTTTTTGTGGTCCCAAAATTAATGTTCTGGGCAAGAGTCAGCTTGTTCGTATGGGTCTTAGGGGTCAAATCTCTGAGACCTTGACTATTAAGTTAAGAATTAAATTGGTTAAGTATCAACAGTACGGTTAAAAACAGTTCGAAAAAGGGTTAATAAATTCCTAATTATTATAACCTACAAATAACTTACTTCATGTTCGATATTTTCCAAAGACTCGGACAAAAAAAAATAAATATAAATTATGTTTAATCCTATTATTCCAGCTGCGATACCATACATGGACGGGTAGTTAGTTGCATAATATAGATAGGAACTAGAAAGACTACCAAATAACACGCCCGCTCCTAGCATCCCTTCCATCATAGCCATTCTGTAAACATACACGAAGGATTCATTTACACATTAGCAGACATTATATTATGTGCGCACAAAAATACAGAAGTACTAGTAATACTAATAAATAAAAAACCAAAACTATTGTTTCATTATTTTCTTTAAAGTTAGTTAAAACATTCATATTATTTGATAGATTTTCTAAGCACCCTTCTCAAACTAAACTGCTTAACATAAAACCTAGATACCGTATTTTTGTCTGCTTATCTACAACTGTTGAAAACAGATTCGCAATTGTGTACAAAATATTCCTAGAACATTTGTAATGTAGAGTAAAAAGACTATTTGGGTCAGAATTTTTTTTAATCATAATTAGAGTATTTCAATGCTAAAACATTGTAAGGATTTGTTTGCACCCTCGAACTATGTGTTTTTTGTAGTTCCGTGTATTATTTTTCAGTTATCATTCCATCTACTTTTTTTTGGACGTTCATTCACTTCAATTTTCCATTTATTTTATTCTCTCTCTCTCTCTCTCTCTCTCTCTCTCTCTCTCTCTCTCTCTCTCTCTCTCTTGTCGGTTCCCTATTACTGAGGATCGATATTTCTTCCAATATTTCTAACAATTTTTCTCCATTGGTCTCTATCTTCAGCTGCTCTGAGAGCTTCGCAGAATAAGTTTCCAGTTGAATTCTTAATTTGGTTAGACCATCTAGTAGGTGATCGTCCTCTTGATCTTCTCCCCGGAACGTTTCCAGAAACAATTAATCTCTCCAAACTATGGTCACATCTGCGAAGCAAGTGACCGAAAAATTTCAGAATACGTTGCAGACATATTGGGAACAGCTTTTTTTTTAATCTCGAGTTGGTTTAGAATGGAAACGTTTGTCGTATGACCTGTCCAAGGAATGCGCTGCATTCTTCTCCTGCACGAGTCCAAATCTTTGCTCCGTATAGAAATATTACGGTTACAGTTACGGTCACAGGTCACAGTTACCATCGTTAGTTATACGAGACCCGAAATAGATAACACTGTCCACTATCTGGTATTTCTGTAACATGTAGTCAGTTGAATAGTGCAAAATCTGTCGACCACCATTATTTTTGTCTTAGCTTTATTGATTTTCAAACCAACTTTATTACTTTCGTACTCAACTCTTCGCAGGAGATTAAACATTTATTGCTCATTTGCTGCTATAAGTGTAGTGTCATCAGCAAATCTTAAATTGGAGATTTTCCTAGCAGCAACTGTTACTCCACTGGCCTATCCATCTAAAGCCATCCTCATGATATGCTCACCATAAATATTAATTAAGTCAGGTGACAACACGCATCCTTATCTAATACCTCGCTCGGTCTTAAATTGATGTTAGAACTTCTGATATATTCGTACTGTTGCTATATTGGACTTGTACAGATTTTTAATAAGTGTCACCAACCCATTTCTATTAAAATGGACCACAGATGTATCCAGCTTACACAATCAAATGCATTTTGGTAGTAAACGAAGCATATAATCATAGGTACTTGGAATTCTCTAGACTTTTCAATGAGTTATCTCAGGTTCAGATGTTTTTCAGGTTCAAACATTTCAAATTTTTTAGATTTAAAAAAGATCAGATTTCTGGAAATTTTCAGATTTTCAAATTTAATGATAAAAAAGTTATGGCGATTTTTGTCAGATGCGCGAGCAGCGGGCAACCTCGTTTTTATTCAAAGTACTCGTGTAATTGCGCAAGAAAAATTATTTCATTGTCATGAGAAAATCGTAAGCGTTAGATCATCTTCTTCTTGTAGTGCCTATCCATTTCGATGTTGGCGACTATCATGGTAATCTGTATTTTGCAAACTGCTGCTCTGAAATGTTTTGTTGTAGGTTGTTGTGTTGAACCACGTACATAGATTTTTCAACAAGGAAATCCTTCGCCTTCCTGGTCCTCGTTTTCCTTTGTAGAATTAATTGCAGCAACCTATATATTTCGCTGTTCCTCATGATGTGCCCAAGGTATTCGATTTTGGCTGTTTTTATTGTGGTTAACAACTCATTGCCTTTTTGCACTCTTTATAAAACGTCCTAGATAGTAACGTGGTAGGATTCGACGATAAAGCCACACTTCGAAAGCCTCAATTTTCTTGGAGGTAACGTCTGTGAGTGTCTACGACTCAACTCCATACAACAGTATAGGAAAGATATAACATCGTAGTAACCTGATTTTTATGGATATTAATAAAATCATGGCATTTGAACAGCTTAGCCATTTTTTGAAATGCAGATCTTGCTTTCTCTATCCTGCATTTTATTTCTATGGAAAGGTCCCAATTTTCATTGACGTTCATACCAAGGTGGGTGTATGTTGAACCTTTGATAGCCGATTAAATTTAAAGGTGAGTTATATTGGAAAAAATGTTGAATTTATTTGTATGTATTATAAAAAATTCGGCCTATATTATTAGCGGTAAAGTTGAAATTATACAGATATCTAAGTGTTTTGACTAGCAATTTATTTTAACGTATGGGCACGGTTATTTATAAGTAGACGTTGAACAATTTGCATTTATTTACCTCATCCCCCTAGTTTCGTCAGTGCTAATATCAGAAATGTAAGACAATATTGTTACTAAAACTGTAGGAATTCCACCAGTTATCATTGAAGGTATAGATGACAACATGAAGAACCATGGATTTATATAAGGAATGGCACTAAACAATGCCATAATTAAGTAACTAAAAAATTGGCCTAAAAACATCAATATATATATAGTAATACATAAAAATCAATTTTTGGGTGTCACAAAATCTGGACAATATAGATATCCGAAATTGCTAGTATCTTAAACAATATCAACAAACATGCATTTATTATAATGACCTTGTGATTATCTTGGAATTACAAATATGTGTCACTATAAAAGTGTTTTGTAGAATAAATATGTAACACATTGAATAACATCAACTATATATGCATCCCCAGGAGCTATTTTAGATAATGTGTTATATATTTTTATCTATACGAGGTGTAGCTATTAAATAACGAAACTGGCGATGTAAAACAGGTTATTTTCAGTTTATACGTAATTACTTACTATTATCACCTTCAAAATGCACTTCTACTTTATCCCTGAAACGGTCCATGCAAAATTGTTTAAAACACTGCTGGAAGTCTTCTTCTATAACGTCCTTCAAGACGCGTGCCACTTTCTCTTTTACATCTCAATGGTATCGAATATTGTTCTCTATAATACAGGTCATGTGTATGTGTGTAGCTGAAATTATGACTGCGGATTACTGGATCCATTCGCCTAACTAATTTTTGTTGGACGCTTAATCGACAGTTAAGAGAGGAACGTATGATCCTAAAAGGAGTCAGACAAGGTTGCTTACTGTCCTCACTGTTGTTTAATGTATGTTCTGAAATAATCCTCTTCTTCTTCTTTTTATGTATGTCCGACATGGAACCGTCTCTTGCAGTCTTTACTACTCTATTTGTTGTTATTCGGCTTATATGATCGTTCCATTCTACTCTTCTATTTCTTACCCAATCCTTGATGTTCTCCACTTTTCCTCTGTGTCAGGTCTTGTTTTTGCCACGTATGTCAATATTGGTCTGATGACTGTTTTGTAAAATCTGCCTTTCATTTCTTTCCCGATATTTTTATTTCTCCATATTGTTTCATTCAGGAAACCTGAGGCTCTGTTTGCTCTATTCACTTGATCTTCCACTTGCGTTTCGAGCTTTCCGTAGCTAGATAATGTGATGCCTAGATATTTAAACTCCATCACTTGTTCTATTATCTGATCTTCTAGCTGAAATTTACATCTTAGTCAATTTGCTGTTATAAATAAACTAATAAATGCAATTAGATATGCCGATGATACAGTTATTATATACAATATTTAGTCACCGTCACTATCACTATGTAAAAAACAGCTACAGTTGGTGGGCAACTAATACGAAGAGAATCCAATTTAGAACGTCTTTGTTGATATATTACAGAACTACTAGATTCCGATAATGAGATAAAATATAGAATTGAGATGGCTCGTACATTTTTAAAAATGAGGTCACTTTTCTGTAACCGTAGCTTGAAATTTCAACTTAAGAAGCACATATCTCTCTTCAGTCTGACCCCCCTGATTCAGCACAAAAGCATATATTTGTAAAAAGCATATTATTTTATTTATTATTTTACATTTTGTTATAGGGGACGCAAATTGGATTTTTCTTGATGTTGTAATCTGACACATATCTCTCCATGTACTTAACTTTAACAGGTTGATTGAAAAATACCCCGATCGGAGCAGATCAGCTTCAATCGGCGATGTAGCACAACTATTGCAGCTTTTTGAATATAGCACTGGAGTCTAAAGACGAATATCCCTCTGATTCAGAAACACAAAGTGATTGAGATGCACATGATGATGACCAGTCATTAGTGAATCTTCCGGCTTCGTTTGTAAATTCCAATCCTGTTTTGACTAATCTTCTTCTTCTTAAAGTGCCTATCCAATCCGGATGTTGGCGATCATCACGGCTATCTTTACTTTGTTTACTGCAGCGTGAAACAGTTCAGTGGTAGTCGTGTTGTACCACTTTCGTAAATTTTGAAGCCAGGAAATGCGTCTTCTTCCCGTTCCTCTCTTACCATTTACCTTCCCTTGGAGAATCAGCTGAAGAAGGTCGTAACGTTCTTGATTTCTCATTACATGTCCTAGATATTCCAACTTTTTAGTTTTGACGGTCATGAGAATTTCACATTCTTTCCCCATTCTACGCACGACCTCCACATTAGTAACTCTGTCAACCCAGGATATACGTAAGATGCGCCTATAACACGACATTTCGAAAACTTCGAGCCAATTCATAGATGCAACAGTCAGTGCCCACGCTTCCATTCCGTAGAGCAGAACTGTGAATATGTAACAGTTCAATAGACGGCATTTTGTTTTTAATGATATATCTCGACTGTCGAAAATGGTTGTCATTCTAACGAATGCTGCTTTTGCTTTTATTATTCGCTGTTTAATTTCTGTTGAGTGGTCCCATTGCCTATTTAAATTGGTGCCTAGATATGTATATTGCTCGACTCTTTCGATATTCTGTTGATTGATTATAAGTTGAGCGTTTAGTATTGGTTTTTTACTAATTGTCATAAATTTGGTTTTCCTTATGTTAAGAGCTAGTCCGTATCTGTTGCTGACTTCTGTTATGCGATTTGTTAATATCTGTAAGTCATTCAGATTATCGGCAAAAAACTATAGTGTCATCTGCATATCTAATGTTATTCAACCATTCACCGTTTATTAGTATTCCTTTCGCACAACCGTCTATATATATATATATATTATATATATATATATATATATATATATATATATATATATATATAAGGTTCTTGAACTCCTAAGTGGAGCATAGAGCTGAGTGAAAACGCGCCATCGGGTTCTATTTTGCGCTAAGGCCTTCACCTCATTCCAAGACTTTCCTTGTTTTCTTATCTCGTCCATGATGGATCTTCTCCAAGTTTGTACTGGGCGACCTTTTTTTCGTTTTCCTTGGGGATTCCACTCTAGGGCAGTCTTTGCAATACTGGAGTTATTTTTTCGGAGTGTGTGACCGATCCAACCCCACTTTCTGGACTTTATTTCATTTACTACCCTCTTTTGTTTGGTCAGGTGTAGTAAATCTTCGTTTCTGATGATGTTAGGCCAGAAAATACGAACAATTCTTCGTAGACATTTATTAACAAAGACCTGCAGTTTGTCTGTAAGGGGTTTTTGTCGCTTTCCAGGTTTCACATCCGTAAAGTAGTACAGACATTACATTTGACTGGAATATGCGGATCTTTGTCCTCGTAGTGTAGTCTCCAGACTCCTCGTAGTGTAGTCGCTTTCCAGGTTTCACATCCGTAAAGTAGTACAGACATGACATTTGACTGGAATATGCGGATCTTTGTCCTCGTAGTGTAGTCTCCAGACCTCCAAACAGGGTTGAGCATGCTGAAAGCCTGTTGCACTTTTCGTATCCTCATACGAATATTGTCTTCTGTACCTCTGCTTTCTGTTATGACACTTCCAAGATACGTAAAGTTTTCCACATTTTCAATCTGCATGTTATTAATGGTGAATAGCGTGTTGTTTCTTGCATTTATTCTCATGGATTTGGTTTTACCAATATTGATTTTCAAACCTATTTTATTGGCTTCAGTGGAAAGTGTTTCCAATTAGTCAGCCACATCTTGGAACCTTTGTTCTAACAGGCAGATATCGTCGGCGTATTCTAGATCGCTCAGGCGTGTGGTTAACGTCCATTGTATCCCTCTTGTGTCAGAGTCTAGTTTGGAGAGAACATAGTCTAGAGCTATGTTAAAAAGAAACGGAGAAAGCACGCATCCCTGTCTGACTCCAGTAAGTACGTCAAATTCGTCACTGTTGATCCCATTGTGTGTCACGCTGCATTTCGCTTCAGTGTACAGTAACTTTATAATGGAAATTATTTTATGCGGGATGTTTCTTAGCTCTAAAATTTTCCATATCGCATCATGAGATAAGCTGTCAAACGCACGCTCGAAATCAACAAAAACCATGTATAGGGGTGTGTTCCATTCAACCGATTGTTCCATTATTAGCCTCACAGTATTAATGTGGTCTATGCAGGAGGATTCTGGTCTAAAGCCTACTTGATTAGCTCGAAATTCAACCTTGTTTGTTAATCTTTTAAGTATGATGGTCGTGAAGATTTTATTTATGGCGGTAAGCAAGGTTATTCCTCTCCAATTTTTGCATAGTGTGAGGTTGCCCTTTTTTGGAAGCTTAATAATGATGCCTTTTTTCCAGCCCGCTGGAATGCGGTTTGTTTCCCACACCTCTCGGATTATGGGGAGCAAAAGTTCAGCAGTTAGATGCGGATCAGTTTTAAGTATTTCGGCAGCAATGTTATCGATTCCCGGAGACTTGTTATTTTTCAGAGATTTGATAGCTGTTATTATCTCTGTTTTGGAAGGGGCGTCGCAAGATATAAGCAAGTCTATATTTTGTGGATTTTCGACAATTTCATCTGCGTTATCCCTGGGCGTGCCTAGCATCTCCTGAAAATGCTCTTTCCATCTCTCTATTTGGTCATTTGTTGTAGTAAGTAATTCTCCTGTCTTGGATCTTACGACGTTTGAACAGTTGGGCCCACTTTTTGTTAGACGTCTAGTAATTTGGTATAGCTCTCTAGTTCTATTGTGTTGTGCAGCTATTTCGGCTTGTTTTGCCAGTTCTTCAGCCCATCTTCTTTTGTCTCTTCTTGCATTTCTTTTAACTGCTTTATTTATTGTTTCATATTCTTGTTGTCGGTTCGCTCTTTCTTCTACAGTTCTTGCTTGGAAAATATCTTTTTTTTTTGCTGTTTTCTTTCTTCGATAAGATTCCAAGTTTCATCTGATATCCATTCTTTTCTATGTTTCTCTTTTTTACCCAGTTTATCTTCAGCTATTTATGTCAAAACATTTGCCAGATCTTCCCAGCTATTTACTTCACGTTCTCTTCTTTTGAGTTGAAGTTCCTCCCTAAACATGTGTCTTCCTGTAGCCGTTTTTAATTTGTCTAGATTGTATGTTGGTCGTTTGGTGTTTCGTGTGATTTTGTTTTTTGCCATTTTGATTTTAATGGTACCGATTACAAGATGATGGTCATTTGCGATGTCTGCTCCTCTTTTGTTACGTACATCAAGAAGAGATGATCTCCATCTTTTTG